TTCCAGTGAATTCTATTTATCATAAAGTTTTAATATTAAAATATTGCGCCATTGGGATTTTATGATGCCCTCAATACATGGAAAATGGTTCATTTATGATCACTTTGGCACTTCATAACTTTTGATCACAATGCTATATGAATCACAAATTCTCACTATTAATAGAATATTTAGAGATGTATTTCTCCTGGAAATTTCAGCTGTCTATACCGTTCCATTTACTCAGGGTACACCCATGAAAAACGGAATTTTGATAAATGTGGGGTCTTTCAGAATGGGCTTCCTCCCAAGATATAAATTTTCTAGGGCGTTGATTATTAAGACATGGAAGTACTGTCTTTGAGCTACAATTTTGTAAAAGAATTAGCGCGGGATCTCCGAGATTGATCCCAAGGGACTCCTTAAAAAATACGAAAAAATGAGCGTTTTTGGTAGGAAATTTATATCTTGGGAGGAAGCCCATTCTGAAAGTCCCCACATTTATCAAAATTCCGTTTTTCATGGGTGTACTCTTAGTAAATGGAACGGTATGGACAGCTGAAATTTCCAGGAGAGATACATCTCTAAGTATTCTATTAATAGTGAGAATTTGTGATCCACATAGCATTGTTGTCAAAAGTTATGAAGTGCCAAAGTGATCATAAATGAACCGTTTTCCATGTATTGAGTGCATCATAAAATCCCAATGGCTCTATATTTTAATATGAAAACTTTATGATAAATAGAATTCACTGATATTTATGGTAATAAAAAATTTCAGCTCATTTGGTTGAGCCATTCGTGAGATATCATTGCAATAGGATCCCCTTACACATATATGGTCATTTTAAGGCCTATTCGTAAAATGCTCATAAAAAATCGAGGGTTAATGTTTTTTGAATGGGATTGCGTGAAAAATCATTAAACTCTTCTGTCTATAACATATATTAAATTGAGCAAAATTCGATGATATTGATTGAGCAACTACGGTCGTGGCTTATATGGACTGGCTCATAAACCATTACCATGTTTTATAAAATCTTTCGTAATATATTGAATACTTATCTTTATTCTATACTTGCAAAAGGTTTCGGAAGTTCAAAGCCAACGAGTTTTATTTAAAAAGCTGATCATCATTGAGAGAATGAAATCGACCTTAAAACGGTTCTCTCTTGTTTTTTCTTCTTTGTTTAAACAAGTGAAATCTTTTGAGATATGTAGAATAGCCATCCCACTTCAAACAAAATTCTACGTTCGTTAATAAGACCTAGAATTGTATTGTATGATAAATTGCATAAAAAGATGCTGTAGTGCAGGGCTTATTTCAGTGTTCAACAACATTTGAAATTAATCTATGTGTCAAATGTCATTTTAATAAATGATATCCTATGACTTTTCACAGAAAATTTAACATGTCAATTATTATCAAGATTCTTCTGATTAGTGCTCTTGTTCAGCATGGATCATTTTATACAAAAGTGATTACCGACTATGATTTATATGGATGCAGAATTGCTCTAAATGATCACTTAATTATCACAGCAGATAACTTTGTAAGGCAATGGTTCTTATCTTTCATTGAAAAAAACGTTACAGGTTCCTGTGATGTAAACTACACAATTACAACGTGCGACTTTGTCTATAGTATTGTCGTTCCATTATTGAATAATACATCGGTTGTCTACAATTGTATTGATCTACATGGAAATAATGTTGTTGGTTTTTTTATTATCAATAAGACTTGCCAATATGAATTGCACAATGAAAAAATCATCTCAAATTATTCAACACAGGACAATTTTGTCATTGCCATCAATGGTGATAATTCGGGTGTATATGGATTTACTGATGATTTTATGTTTTTCTATGAATTGAAATCACCATTTCCCATAACCATCTGGTCTAATACTTTGAATATTTAACCTCGAGCAATCGATATTGGCTTTAATATAGACTACGGTGTATTAGTCGGTTACTGTCAATTAATACCAGATACTGCAATCGAATGTGGTTTTATAATGCGATTGAATACATCTCGATCAAATCCAACAATTAGTAGAGAAATATTGATGCAAAAAGCTTTGAGCTTTAACTGGGCTGATGCCCGTGTTGCTCATTTGGTTACAAAGAGTCGTGTTTATTCCGTAGACACACTTATGTCAGTGAGTATCTCTTGATATTCTAGACGTATTCTAATTGGTATTCCATCACTAAATATTGTTTTATTGTATGTATTGGATAATGTTTCAAATCCAATTGGTATGTATGACGATGGCATGGATTTTACTGGATTTGGTAAGAGTGTAGCATGGTTGGATGGTTACGGTAATAAGGCAGTTATTCTCGACAATCGTTTCACTCGTTCAACTGGGCAATGGATTTCATCTTCTATTCAACTTTATGATATCGGATCAGATGGTTTTTCCAATAATACAAAACCAATTCATATCTATCCAAATAGTCAACAACAAAAATTTTCAATTATGAGTACAGTATTTATTCGTCTTGTCTGTTCCATTTCAGGTGATTTGGTTATTTTTGATAACTTGGGAAATCAAGGCATCATATTTTCCGCACCTAAAGGCAATTATCCACATATAGTCTTAAATTCATTCGTGTCGGTCTCCGTTCCTTGCATTCGAGGTACTCATCGAGATTATCCTGGGATTGAATTGTGTACTCCATGTCCGTATGGTACATTTTCAAGTGATTGTCAAAAATGTACATCAAATATTTCATTTTGTCCATATGGTAGTATTGAAGAGCTTCCCTATTCAACATTTGAATCAATCGAACAAATACAAGATTATCCTGATTCACCGGAAAGTACTGTATTCGATGATATACTCATGCATAACATGTTCATGTTAAATTGGAGATCAAGTCATTGTGCACTAGTATCACCAATGACATGGGTGCTGGTATTTATTGTATTCGGAACAATAGCAGCATTGGTAGTAATCATCTCTGAAATCCGTTGTATGAATTCACGTAATATAAATCATCAAATCAAACAAATATTGAAGAGGGTAGACCTTATTGGTGAAGGAGAGGTAATTCAATTGTTTATTGTCCCTTTTTCTGCCTACTTTGAGTCTTATGAAAAAATTTATACTATCAAAATAGAGCAATTATAGAAAGTAGAACCGATATACCTCCTCCCCCCCTCCCCCCTGGAGGAGTCGAATTGCCAGACATATTAGAAGCCTTCTCATTTTAAGAACTTTTCGAAAGTTTTTTAGAAACTTTTATTTGTGTTTTCATAGTGAAATTTTAAAAATGACAAGGTTTTAAGGTAAAAATGTACTAAATTCTTGTTTGTCAGTATTAAAATCTTGAAATTTCCTTGAAAATCCTGCGAAAAAAATCTTAAAAACTCTGGAAAATCTCCTTAAGGCTTTTGAAAAACTTTGGTAACTGAAATCTTTGAAAAGTCGTGGGACATAATAGAAGTCCCCTCCGAAAGTTTTTCGACGCTGAACAGTTTAGAAGTCCTCGGGGGCTTCTATTATGGGGGGGGGGGGGGGGGGGGGTGTTGGTGTTCGTTTAGTTATGTCGGGGTTGTGGTTTTTTATGTTTATAGAT